GAAAAATTAGGGACCTGAAAAAACTATTTTGAATTGCAAAGATATAAAGCGTTGATTTTTAAATGGTAAAAAAAAAAAAAAAAAAAAAAGTTTTCTACATATTTGTTAAAACCGCCACCATGTTGAGACAGAAAATCTGTGAAAAAATGGATCATCTCCCAGAGCTACTGTCTGCAGAAATGAGAAATGGCCTGTTGCAATGTTTTAACACGTCCAGAGGACCTCAAAGCTCTTCACTCGGTCATTTCACACTGTGAGCTCTTGGATTGTGGCCATTTGCAACCACTGACGGAGGCGCAGCTGCTGCGCCGTGGCACCACCTGTGACCATGAGGCGGGTGAAGTGTCTGGTCCAAGGACACATGGACAGACAAAGCAGGGATCGAACTGGCAGCCCACTGATTGTGTGGTGAGCTCCTACCACCGTGGCTACCGTCACCCCAGTGCAGCGCGCCCAATCAAAAACACCCAATCTAAGCCGAGAGGAAGTGTCTTTGGGCTGTCAATTATGCTTGTGTACGTTCTGCTAAATGTGATGATGGCAGAGAAACAACTTGGAATCAGAAATCCTCTTAATGTCATTGTGCACGGATAAAGCGCGACGAAATTTGGAAAAATAACAACTCAAAACAACGGGGATGTTAAGAATAAGTAAACAGATAATAAATGAATTTATTAATTCATTAGTAAAGATCAAATCTTTAGATGGATTTGCTGTGTTCAGGGCAGCAACAACTCTTGGATAGAAACTGTTTTTAGTCTGTTTGTCCTCGTCTTGGCTCCTCCAGTAACACATTTACTGTGTTGATAATACTGCTTTCGAATCAGCATGGTTAAAATCACCTGCGGCCACATGCACTGCCTCTGTTGGTGGCTCTGCTGCCAGCTGTGCTCCCCAAACAGGGAGGATGTGACCTGACACCACGAAGCCCCTCCTTCTGACTCTGATTGGTTGTTTCTGACTGAATTGTGTGTTTCTGTATTGAGCACTGAGAAAAGGCAGAGGAGCATGATTTTTTTTTTCACAGATTATCTGTCTCATACCACGCTGTCATGACAGATGGCAGTTGTAACAAAAACATCTATTTTTTATATGAAAGCTACATAATTAAGAACAGTAATAAGAGAGATTGGATTTGGGGAAATGTTCTGTTCTACGTTACACCTATTTATTCGTTTGTCCCCCCAAAAAATAATCTATGGCAAATTCACAGCAGTACTTCTTGGGAACACTATCTACCTAAAATATGTGAAAGTCGATACAAAATCCAACGTGAGAAAGACCCCAGAACATCTGGTGTTTCCAGGTTCATAAACGCACGGAGACGGATCTTGCAGCCGATGTTGGATGCTAGCTCTTCTGAGTCCACCAAAACCAAGAAGAAAACTCCACAAAATCGGCCACTGCAGCGTTTCTGGCCCGACTCTATTGCTGCTGGGGGAGGAACCCATCAGCAGGTTACCATGCCTGATGGTAAGTAGCAGCCTATCAGGACGAATCAACTATTCTATGTAAAGAGTCAGCGACTCTTTACATATAGTATAAATTGCACATTTCAAAGTTCAGAGAAAAGGTAGCTTTATTTTAGCTACAGGTGAAAGACAGTATTATTTTAACTGTATTGGCCATGATGAAGCCATGAAGTAGCTTCATGTTGGAGGGTAACATGGCTGCTAGCTGAGCAGATGAGCTCTGAGCCTATAGGAATGAAGGAGCGCACATACAGTTAGTCACAGCAACATTCCAGCCAATAGGATGGAGAAACACTGAAAGACGGGGTCAAGTCTGTCATCTGTGGAAGGAGAGCAAGTTGCTGGTGGCAGTGTCCCGACCGATGCCCCAAGGAGTCACAGTTCCTACGAAGAGATGGAACTGAAGGAGATCCTAAAGTTAAAACATGAAGTGGGGTTCGTCTCATCCCATGTCATTCCCTCTGGTCCGATCTGCTCATTTGGGACAGAACCCGTCTCCTTCCTGAGCGGTATGATGGGTGGACAACCCATCTTACTTGTGTATAATTGTTTGCACAGATTAACAAGGCGCCTTGAGGCTTCTGGAAATTAAACCCAAAGATGAAGCAGACGGCTTCCTTTGTGGAAGACGAGAGAACGTCTAGTGCGACCTCGGCTCCAAACTAGGACATTGTCGCCCCGTCCCACCACCCAGCGTCTCCTTCTGTTTGTTTTCTTCTTTTTTTGGAGGACCAGAAAATAACTTATTAGTGAATAAGGTGGTGGGTTAGCCTTTGAGTTGTACTTCTGTGCAGTATAGGAGAAAAGTCTGGCAGAACAGTGGTGTCGGTTTGGAGTTGCTGACACTGGTATCGGCCCGATAGCGCCATCGGGATTCCATTGATTTAGAGTTTAAAGGACCAGTTATGGTGAAGGCTCTGGGCCTTCAGTTTGGCATCCGTTCTAGCAGCTTCCTTCAGACGCCGCCATAGAAACGGTGATGCTTCTCTGCAGGTACAATGGTGACGATGAACATGGAGAGTCTGCAGAGCCTCACGTCAGACGGAGCCACCCTGGCAGTGCAGCAGGTCATGCTTGCAGGCCACAGCGAAGATGAGTCGGGCGATAGCGGGGAAGACGATGACGACGCAGACATGACCGTCCTGGGGCTCGACAACAGCGACTCGTTGCAGTAAAAGCCGACGCACTGACCTACACATACTCAGAAGGCATGTGTAACACAGACACATTGGGTTTACACCGAGCACAAAAGCACAGAGTGTCCATGGACAGTACTGTGCTCTTCCAGCTGACCTCAAGTCTGCGCTGCGTGTGTGTACTTCAGAAGTTTCACTTCAGAAACTGTTTTTTTAACAAGTTTATTCGTGTAGGCGAGTGCACTTTTTTTGTATATTTAAGCTGAAAAGATGAAATCAAGCAGAAAATACGTGTTGAAAACACAAGAAACAAGTTTGTATGCTCCGTTATTAATAGACTTTCTTGTTTTTTTTTTATTATTATTATTATTTTGCTCTTTGATCTCTTTTTTGGATGCCAACACATAAGTTGTATATGTAATGGTTTGTCTTCATTCTTTGCATGCTTGTGTTTTGAGTAGATGTACGCATTCTTCAGACTTGCTCTCCAGTGAGCAGAGGGGGAAAGGAAGAAAAAAAAAAGTAGATATGCTTATTTTTCTATACAAACATGACATTAGTGTTTTTTTTTTGTTTTTCATTTTTGTGTTCTGTTTTGTAAGGAATGTTTATGTACAGATTCCTAATAGCAGGCCTGTTTTTCAGGGTTCCTTAAAGTTTTCTAAAAAAAAAAAAAATTGAATGGTGATGAACATTGCTATTTAAATTGATTTTTAAACTCAAAAGACCAAGTAACAAGGCCTTATTATGTTTTCCTTTCACAGACCTCTTGCCAAGAAGCACAAACAAAGTTGACCCTTTTGAAAAATTTATGAAAAGACACTAAACTGCAGAACAAAGTTGTAATAAAAAGATCAACTTTGCACACGGCTCACAGATCGATATCTGAAGAAATAATCATGCAAAGTCAATTGGTTGTTGTGCTCATGTTTTGTTTTTATCCAACTCCAGTTTACCCATATTGTGTATACTATGCATTACGTATTTGAATCATTTCACAGTTGTACCCTTGGCATGACCATGTCAATTGCACAATCAAGAACACTATGCTAACTACACAATCACAGGGTGAGAGACTGAGATCTGTGGAAAGACGCTCCACAGCGGGTCACACCAACAAGCAGCAGGATGTTTGGGATGCATTCAGCTTTTTGTTTCTTTGTGATGTTTCTACTGCATAGATTAAGGAAATTCGGTTCAAGAAGAACTGGAAGGAAAACGCCTTCGTTTGGTCTTCTGTCACTGTTCTGGTGAAGTATTCAAAATGTCTTCATTAAGCTGTCGTTACGCCACGAATTGGGGTGGCAGTTGTCTGAATCATGGTAAGCCTGTACTGAACATTAGTTTTTATCAGTCTTGTTAGACACTTGGCCCATGTGACCGCACACAGCTGTTCTTCATTTGGGTTTGTTCACCATGATCTTGTCTGTTTTTCCTTAGAGCTTTCTATTTTGGAATAAAGAATGCCCAACTCTCCCCTGTTTGTCGCATCCATATGTTCACCTTAAAGCAGACGTTTCTGTCCCTCTTCAAAGATTTTTAAATTGGTTTGATATGAATCTTTTGGAAGCCAGGGTGTTGGTCGAACTTTGGTTTTCAGTTATATGTTGTGGTTGCCAGACTCAAAGCCTCTTCTCTCTGAAAGAAAGAAATGGAAAGTGTTTATTACGACCTACACACGTTTCACATCGACACAAATTTCATCTGCAGCATTGGAGCAGCTGGTTTCAGTTGTTTTTGTTTGTTGTTGAACTCGGGCTTAGAAGATGGAGCATTTCTTTGCTCGTGTCATGTTGCTTTGTTTTGGGGTTTTAAGATGTTTAATCTAAAAATGTCATTTCTACCTAAACACACGGTACTGTAACGTTTGGACAGGAATGCACAAACGAGCAGACCGAATGAAAAATTCATTCCTGGCAAATTAGTAGAAATGGATAAGTTGGTTGTTTCCTGGTCCTGCTGCAGCTTTTAATAAGTAAAGGTAATTTAGAAATGAATCGACGACACCCAGCTGTGATTTCGTCTAGCTTTAGACTGAGCTGTTTGGTTTGGAAAGGTCCCCAATGAGGCTTAATAAATACACCTTTTGTTAAGTTTGGGCACCCGTATTATTCTTAATTATTTTTATTTCCAAGTCGTTGGGTGTTTGGAACAGCTGGTTCAGTTGACACATCTAATAACTGATGGACACAGTAACACCTCAGTATTGGTATGAAGTTTATTGGACTAAGAAAAAATGGGCAATATGATTAAAACAAATTTAGACGGGTGCAAAAATTTGGGTACCCTTACCATTTTGTTGATTTGAATACCCTTAACTACTTATCATTGATTTATTGAAACACAGAATTGGTTTGGTAACCTCATTAAGCTTCGAACTAGACAGGTGTGTCCAATCATGAGAGAAGCTATTTAAGTTGGCCGAACCTCTCAAATGATCTGGAAACACAGATTGTTCAACATAATAGTTTAAGGGAAGGACACAAAAAGTTATCTTGGAGATTTAACCTGTCAGTTCCCACTGTGAGGAACGTAGTAAGGAAATGGAAGACCACAGGGATCGTTGTTAATCCTAAAACAGACTGAATTGTCGTACATACTCACTTCCATCTGTAGGCGGATCCAGCTGAGTGCCTTTGTAATGCTAGTGTAAACTCCTGGTTTGTTCCTCTCAGCACAGCCAACCCCCCAACTAGTCACTCCAACAAGCTTCCACACGGATGAGTCTTCACATGCAAGCGGGCCCCCGCTGTCCCCCTGTGCAAATGTACATGCAAAAATAGATGTAAGCCTCTTATTCAAATAGTACGCTGCTATTCCTGCTGATACTCCTAGTATGACTTTAACTATGAAAAAAATGCAATAAAGATCTTTCACAGCAATGAAAATGGTTTTACAAAGACAGCAATGCACAAGCCATACTCTAATCTTTTTGCATGTTCCGTTTTTTGTTTGTTTTTTTAGGTTTTAGTGGCTCTAGTGGCCTTTATTTGAAAGTGGTCAGACAGAAAAGTAGATAATGAGAGAGGGGGAAGACATGCAGGAAAAGCCCTGATGTTTTTGGACTGTACCCAGAGAGAACCCACCGTGCACATGGAGAACGTGCAAACTCCATGCAGAAAGATCCCGGGCCGGGAATCGAACCCATGACCAGTAGGTGGCACTGGCCCACTGTGCACATCCCACTCCAGTAGTGATTATAAGGACTTAATATCACTTCTATGCTGCTTGGCTCCAGCAGCATAACAGTGGCTCAAAGTGTCCCCTGCTCTGGCCTAACATTTAATAAACTGTCTTTATTTATAATTTCTGATTCAGATTACTCTAGTCAGGACTGTCCTGATTCCAGAGTCCACTCCACACAGAATCTGAGAGCTCCGAGCCGCGCTGAAAGTCCTTCAGGTGCAGAGCACTGTCTGGAATCTGACCACAAAGCCAAGTCTCTGGGAAGCATGGCGCACAAGAGGAAGAAGGATTTCTGTTCCTACTCATCAGCAGGTCCAGTCCGTCCATTCTCTAGCAGTTAGCAAATGTTAGAGAGGAAAATCCCAGGTAAAGGTATCTGTAGTCCACGTCTGCGATGCCGAGCTAGAACCTCTTCCTCTTCTCTCGAGCCTCTTTTGCGGTGACTCACTCTTTTAGTGAAGATCAGTGGATCTTCACCTGGGTTCGGTCGAACCCCAGGGGTTCGGCGGAGCCTCTGCCGCGGAGGTAAAGACACACTGTGTAAAGTCGTGATGACGCCCCGCTTTGCCATCACTTGCTGCAGAGGATCAGGTGACATTGTTTAGCCAATCAGAGCTGCGGAGGAGCCCTGATTGAAGGAGCTCCACTCTCAGCATGGATTTGAACTTGTGTCTTTAATTACTTCAGCAAAACTCACCATTTTTACCAAATTCTGTAGCTTTCGGTGTACTTCTAAATCTGCTCCTTAGTCGCATCTTTTCGGGCCTGATACTGCCTCTAGTGGTGTGGGGGTGGTAACACAATTAATATAATTACATTACTAAATCAGAATACCAAAGTCTTTATTATTTATTATTAATTTTTCATTCTCTTAAGAATGTAGAGCTAATTAAATGATCTAAACAAGACGTTAAAGTGGTTCCAGTTTCTCTCGATGGCCAGCCTGTTGAAACTGTGACAAATTTGGGTCGTTCCTGTTCACTCAGCTCAACTTTGCTGAAAACACTGACTATATCTTTAAGAACTGTTCTCAGAGACCCTACCTTTTAAGAAGACTTAGTGATCTACATCTTGAATTTAGGGGGCAGGGGGTCATATTTTATTTATCACTACAGAAGGGTTCAGTGAATGCGCATATGAAGCTGGTGGGTTCTGTACCTCAAAAAAGGTTAAGAACCACTGGGCTAGAGATATGCTAAGGATCGGTGCTACAAGGATCGGTAATTAATACATAGAAATAGTATGTCTAATAGCTCTTCATGGTATTTACACATAAAATCAAACAAGACAGAAAGCACCAAAACACAGAAGCAGCCACTTGCGGCGGCGTGGAAATGGTGCATAAGAAGAAGACAATATGATTTTTGTAATTCTGCTGTTTTCCATGTTAAAAGGAAACAAGCCAAACCTGACAGGAGTCAATTCCTCCTTCCAGATATCCTGCACATATCATCCAGGAAGAGATTAGGCCTTTGTAAACATCTGCCTGGTTGCAGGTCTTGGTAGAGATGAGCGGTATCGTAGCCGAGCGTAGAACCACACTGGACTCTCCTAGAAACATTAGTTAAAAAAAATGAAAAGCAAATATTTAGACAGACGTTTATCATAATATTCAAATTTAACATTATGTAGGAGACTGGATTGACAAATTACACAGACTTACCGTCTTCTTCTGTGGCTCCCCAACCAGATATCCAGCACATCTTACCTTCTGTAAACTCCTCTCCATAGTTAGGCAAACAAATGGGTCTCACAAAGCCTACGGAAAACGTGTATGTCTCAGAGAATTTGACAATATTTACCGTATGTTCATCTCACATTTGGATTAAAACTGATACTCTGATACTCATCAGTCTATCTGTCCTTGGATTAAACACAGCGTCCCCAGAAGGATGCAACTTATTGCAACCAGCGGAGAAAATTGAAGGAAGAAAATAGGATTTTATTGACAGTTTATCCTCCCATAATGTGAGCCGAGTTAAATATTCTTCAGTAATCCTTATTTATTGAAGGTTTGCGAAACATTGTTTGACTGAAAATCAGCAAATACGCTCCCACCCGTAGTCTAAAGGGTGTTATTGGTTTGATAAATATTTCTTTGATATTCTGTGGTTATACCAAATCATTTTCTACCGACGCTGTTATCACGGTTGCCTAGAGACTCATTACTCATTTATTTAGAATATTTGAACAAGAGGATAAATTTTGAGTTATTACAAGCTGTGAGAACAAATAGATGAAATTCTTCTAGCAAACTGAAAGTGTGTGCTCTTCACTTACAGCAGTAAAAATCCCCCATACTGATGTCTCGGTATTTTACCCACAGCTTTCTTTAAGAAAATGTTGGCTGTCATAGAGTTCGATTTGATTAAAATGAAACTCATCTCTCTTAGTTTCCCTCCCAGCCTCCATATCTTAAGACAACAATTATCAAACAACAAGTAGAAGAAAGTGAACTGATCTGAACCTGAACTGCCCTGAATAAATTAGAAGAAAGCATGAATTCATAAGCATAAGCAGAGTTGGTCTAAGTAATAGTACCATCAAAAACAAGCGGCTCCTGTAGCCTTATCAGTGCAATGTCGTAATCCAGTCCTTTTGGCCAGTACTGAGCGTGGCGTATGATTCTCCTTACAGCCAGAGAATGGGCGCCATGGATCAGCTGTTCTGTCAGCCCCACATGAACCGTCCACAGGGAAGAGTTTTCAAATCTGGCCACAGACAAAAAGACAAACAAGACATTAGATTCAAATTCTGAATTGCTACAAAGCCCAGCCTGTGGGAACACGGTCACTCTGAGGTGGAGCCGAGCCGATTCGGGCTGCTGAGGTAAAACCGGTGGAAAAGGGGCAGCTGCTTTTTGCTGGCCAGCACGCTTTTAATAAGGACAGTGAAAGGACAGCGTGGTTACTTTATTTTACTTATTTTCATACTATGTATGTGAAGAAGGACTTGGGACATTTTATGTATTTTTAATGCACCAGACACAGACCTGCAGCCCAGGGGCGGATCTAGATGGGGGCCAACGGGGTACCAAAGAAATTATACTAAATAAATGTCTTATGTTAATACTCAGTGGTGATTTTTTTAAATTTTCACAATTTTACTTTAACAATGAATTAAATATTCTAGTGCTGCACTTTTAGCTGCTGTATGGAGATAAGATCACACTTTCCACCTGCCAGGGATCTGCAAACTGAATCTCTGGAGACACAAGTGGCTCTTTGGCCCACTTATTATATCAAATGATGAGATATTGCTCTGTTTTTGTTTCAAGAAGCACTGACTATCTTGGCCCTCGTGGAGAATTTGTTCTAGAACCAGACTCCAAACCTAACTCCTTTTTTGTATAAATTATTCTGGTAATATTATTTAAAATACTATAACGTTCACATAACTTTTATACTTTTGGCTAAGGACACATTTTGAATATTAATCAGGTGTTATGATCAGTTACTTACTATTTGAGCAGTTTACCTAATACTTTTTACACTTGCTTTCTTAAACGTGTTTAAAGTATCATACTCTGATTGGAGTACAGTTTGGGGCACTCTAACCGACCTCCATGCATGAATGATTGCTCTATGGATCACTTCTTAAAGACAAAAAACATTTAAAAAAATGTCTATTACTGCAGCGGACGTCCCACCCCATGAGAGTAGGGCGACGCGCCACGGTGGGCGTCCCTTATTTTTAATTTCTGAAGGTGTCAATCCTATTCAGAACTGTGTTATTTGAACAACTCTTAAAGTGAACATTTTTGACTAAGTTTGATGTATTTCAGCCCAGCTTGGTAGTAAACTGTTACCTAACATGATGAGTAAATTCTATTCATTGCTTACAGGCATCCAGAGTCCTGCTGTTAGCTTTTCTAATCTTGAATGTTCAGTGAGACATTTTTCCAATTAATCAGCCTTGAAAGAATTTCAGAGAGGTTTGATTGTCTGACTTACCCATACACACAATGAGCTGCAGTGAGAATCCAGCTTAATGTTATGATGGAGCCTCCACAAATATGTTCCCTCTGGAAGTGGAGACTGACCTGCCAGGGAAACTGACCTGGTTTGGAGACATTACCCCCCACAATTCGAGCCTTGTACTGAGGCCTAGAACCACACTCTGAGAAAAGATGCAGGACAACAACTATCAGACGATCAATTTAAAAGTCAAATATATTTTGTTAATGATCTACAATCAAATTGATGA